ACATATATCAAGGTCAAGGTCATTGGGTCCCCTTTTCGCTATATTTACCTTAAAATATTTTAGTGAATACATTAAAATGGCCTACCCTGTATATATATATATATTTTCCTCACATTTGACTGTGATTGATCAATTTCTTATGGCTTGAGACTTCGAGACTTACTATACACCTATTGTAGATCCGGGCTAAAGAAAATGCTTCGTTTAAATCACCGCTGTCGTTACGAACGAATCCATTTGATTTAGCGGTCACGTGACAGCTAACACGTCAGTGTCATGTGACGTATATAACTATCAGCTATCAGCTGATAAATACTACATTCGTCAACGTCAATCAAAGTTCATAGTCGTTCGTATATACACAGAACTGAGAACAGCACCCTTTAAGTGTGTTTATAAGGCCCTTATGTGTGTTTATAAGACCTTATGTGCTAAGCCGTTCACCGTTGATGAGATTAATCATTGATGTGGTTATGAAAGAAAAATTTTTATTTTTGACGCGGATATAAACAAGACGTCGCGCACATGTTTTTCGTTATGCCTGACCTGACGACAGAGACAAATGACAGAATCAGGTGGAGTGCCTAGGTACTAATCGGGTACCTTCGAACAAATTAATGGCATAAATGCGCTCGGCCATCAGCGTTATCTTGTCGAGTCCGGTGCCCGACAACAAAATGTCTCATCCCGATTACGAGCAAACCGCCCATGATCATGCTGCTTTGCTGTTGCTATTGAGACCCATCGGTACACAAATCAAGCCAAAGACAGTCAGTAGGTTATGCGAAAGGATCATTAAAGCTGGCAGCAGATTTTCCGTATCTGATTCCAGTGGCGGCACCCGGGAGATTCTAGCCAGATTTGTCAGAGAACATCCCGTGGAGAACAATGATTGGGGGGACTTTCAGACTCATAGAAGATTATTAGGTCTGATTACGTTCGGCAAGTACGATAATCAGACAGAGTTGAACGAGCTATGTAGAGTGCATGAGACCTTGAAGGTAAAATACAGCAACACTTTATATGATTCGCGAGCTATCCTCTTTGGTCCACTCGAATCGAATGGTCGTCATGAGCCACCACCAGGCTGTACTACGCCTAACAATTTTAAAACGCGGGCAGTGTTCTATGCAGACGAAACATGTCCCGATCTGGAAATACAAACAGCTGAATATCTTAATTTCCTATTCTGGATCTTGGAATCGAAAAGATTGGAGCGTTCTAGGGAAAAGATAGACCGTGTCTCTCTTCTATTAGCTCCATTCGAGAAGAAAGATTTTATAGGACTAGATCTCGAATCTAGAAATAATAAAAAGAGATGCGTTGGCCGTATGACAAAGCATTTAGGAGATTTGTGTCTTCAAGCTGGACTACCAGCTGATGCATTGAATAATTATAATTCTGCAGCCAACATTTTACAAGCAGTCAATGACTGGCTGTGGTTGGGAGCTGCGTACGAAGGTCTTTGCGCTGCTTCAGTCTTAGTTCTTTATCCTAACATGTGTCGAAGTCTTCCATTGCAAAGAAATTCCTCTCTACAGGAAGGAAGTCCAAACAAGCAGAGGTATGACTAATCTTTAAACAAAATTACACAATCTTTTCGAAAAATAAAACTATCTTTCTCTTTCTATTTGTTAATGCTTAACAAAATTAAAATACGTGTTTAGGTATTTCCTGTTTTATCCCAAAACTTGATTTTAGAATATAATAAATCTAATAATAATTTGTAGACGAGGATCACAAGCTATCGCCACAGTTTTGCCATCTCCGCCTAGTATAGAAATAGTGAAGGCTAGCATGCCACATATTTTATTACCAGATGAGATATCTAAGAAATATCGCGAAGCCATTGTACATTACAGTAAATATCAATATGCTGGTATAATTGAAACTGAAGCTAGTTTCAAAGCTACGAGGATCTCAATAGAGCAGAACTGTACCTTACAGGCTGCATCGTATCTAAATAATGTTGTATTGATTAATTTGCCTCTTAGCGAACAAGAAAAAGTACGTAATGATAACATTATACAAGTTGCATACACTTCCAAGATATAAAAGGTATAAAGTTATTACATAGATAAAACGTTTCAGATTGATCGATTCACTACATTGTCAGATTTATATACAAGCTTTCGTTTTGATAGAAAAGCTTCATTTTGTTTACGATTAGCTGCCACTCGACATGTATCACAAAATAATCCTAATCCAGACTGGCAGCAATGTTATAACTTAATGTTACAAGCTACATCCGGATTTAAATTATCCTTGGATCCCGTTGATATGTCACCAGGTTATTAGGCTACAATTATTATGCATGTGTTGGTGGTCACCAATAAATTTCCTAAAACTTTTTTATTCTAAAAACTTTTATTCTCCTGATTACACACTATTTTTATCATATTATTTGTTTTAAATGCAAAAATGTATTAAAATATTGTTTTTAAATTTTATGTGTATACATGTGTATGTATATATAT